CATATCTTCAAATGATTGTAACTACGCTATCCAATTTACTGTACATTATGCAAACACAGACATTTTTTCATATATCTTTGTTTGCAGGGGGGAGTAATATAGCAACCATCCTACAATCAATTTCGATTATAGCCAATTTTGGTTAAGCCCTTTTTTATAACTTACTTAACAGACATTGTCATTTGGATAGTAACAATTTGCATATTCTTTGCACTGCAATAACACTAGAGCACATGACACTCTAGCCGAAATGTTGACTGCTTAAATATCATTCGATGACTCATACTCCTACCCATATATGTACGCACGCAAATATTATTATCAGCCTTTGTTTTGCTTTGCTGTGCCCTTATTAAATTTGACTATAAATTGCCTATGTAATTGCTTGCTACTCTCTCGCTCGCTCGCTTGCTCCTCGTTCGTTTCCTTCGCTTGTTTGCCTGTTCACTCGCTCGTTCATATTCGCTCAGGTGTTGTTAGCTTTCGAACCTGAGTCATTCGACAATAAACTGTAGTTGCTGCTATCCTTTGTCTTCTGATTTTACGCACCGTTAAGTTTAGAATTATAACGGTTATCGAAGTAAACGGTTAACGAATCGCGGCACTACACCATAATCAGTTCATTTTCTGAAAAAAGATTAAAGTAGTACACATTCATAAAGGTATATTCGAATTATCAGTAAAGAATAAAAAGCCGAAACTGAAGTGAATAATTAATTTGTTCAGTCTTTTTTTATTGTTCTGTAATATTTATGCTTTCGAACACCCTCTGGTCGGTATATTACTGAATAACGAAAACTACCCTTAAAATAATCTAACTTATAAAATTATTAATTTAGAATAAACGCTTTAATTTATATGATCTAAATCTAAACTTGATTTTAATGTTATGAACAGCAATTTTCCGATCTAAAATGAAGGAATTGAAAAATTGTCTTAATATTCACTGAGTATATCAAAATATATACACCTAGTGTAATACTTATATCATTGTCAATAAGAGCTTGAGTTATCGTCTTGTTGATATTTATGAGTGAATCTTGACCAGTCTTTGTTAATGGAATAACTCAAACCCTTACCAGTAATGATATAAACATCATATCCATTAAACACGTTAATGGTTATCTGGATTCAATAGCTCAGTGGATAACACGTTAGCATTTGAAATGAAAAGTTATGGATTCTAACCTAAATCTCAGCATCAGTCCAGCGACCCCAATACATCCAGCTGACAAATCCCTCATTAGACAAAACAAGTTTGCTGGATTTCACTGATCACCACGTTTCATTTACTCTAAATGAATAATATGTTTCTATTTAGGTGCAAATCCACTTCTGAGAATAATTCTGGTTTTTCCAGTGTTCTATTCTTCATTATTTTCACAAGTTTATCTTCAGTATTTTTATTCGTATTTCTAAAGTATAACTCTGTCGCCATTTTGTTTTTTTTCTCCCACGTGTCCTCTTCTCTACTCTTTTTTTTCAGAAATCTCTGAAAAATGTTTCTTAATTTTACCTTTTAAATTGCTTTATTACTATAACAAGAAGAGTTCTTCCAAATCTACACATCATTATTCTGACCGGAACTAGTAGAATGTTTCCTCTTTCAATTGAAATATGTTAATTTCAGTAATTATTTTTAACGATGATTTAATTTCGATTCAGCTCTTATTATTGAACTTAATTTTATATACTTTTAAAGGAAAAAAAGACTAATCAACTATCATCATTACTATCAACTCTTCATATCTACATATGTAACTATGTTTGAATATGGAAATTGGTTGGAGGAAATGCAGTTTTTGTAAATAAGTTAATGAAAACTGCAATTTTACGTTCAAAATTATAGATATATAGAGGGAATTAAATTGCTTTATTTGATTTAGTTTGTGTTTCATTGCTTTCTATCCACTTTTTCGCCTTGTTTATTTTTGTGAAGGGCACCAGTTGTTTGAAAAAGTCTTTATAATGAATTGACATCAATTGGAGAATTGCCGGAAACCATGGAACATTGAATCTATGTTGTCAGTAGTATATCATCAAAGATGTATACATATGGATTAAAACTTAAGAAGTCAATTCTAAAAGCAAACATCATATTGTCAGACCAACTAATTGAAACTTGAAGGGTCAACGTATCCTACTTCTTTCAGTTTGTGATATAGAAGAATGATCCTTTTCTAAGACCACTGGAGAATTTTTTTGATCCACTTCTAAACGTTGATTCTGCCTGTCATCGATTCCCGCCGCTTGGATGACCCATAAACAACTATCTGGACATTCATAGTTCTTCAATTGATGTCATTTCAACATGAAAGTTGACATTTTTTCACACAAATTCATTTTAAAATTTTATCAGTGTTATGGCTCTTAGAAATCTTATCCACTATATCTGCTCTTTTTCGATTATAATTATTGATTACAAAAATGAGAACCCGATTCACAATATTTTGTTAATTAAAAAGTTGGCATTTTAAATACAAAACTTTTTAAAAATAATTTCTACATTGATTTATCTTTCGATTATGAATTTAGTTGGTATCAAGAAATAAACAGGAAACAAAATTGATTATCATTACATAATCGATTGGTGTGATCGTTTCGTTTTGTACATGTAGTCAGTTATTATTTACACAGCTTATGGGTTATATCCTTGACTGAGATATCCAGTGGTGAATGTTTAAGCCCAACTTCCCTCCCAAAAACGAAGAAATGGTGTGTGAAACCATTGCCTACTATCCATTTACTTTCAATAATTCTCTAGCTTATATGAATATCTATGATAAAAAATGTCTTGAAATAGTGTTTGTCTGTAAAATTCTTCCTTATTCATAAGATCAGTATGTATGACATAACTACATATATAATGTCAGTTCATTAATCTTATGAAAGATTTCGGTGAAAAAAATACAAACAATTTTAGTAATCTTCAGTTTGCTTAAATGAGATGTCTTAGTAAAATATGAAAATCATATATTAAATACTTCATTTGAACATTTTCCATCAGTTGTCTCTTACAAACTTCATCGTTCCTTCTTTTCTGTTGTTATTAAATTTACTCTCTGTTTATATTCCTGTTTCCCTGAGTTCAATCGTCTCAATCTTCTGCTGTTAGGCATTCCACTTTCGATTGATGTTGCGTGCTACTTATATCCGTCAACATAAGCAGCATACACCACAATACCATCGTTGACTCATTATCATAGTTTTTCCTACTTTAAGATTTGTGTTTTCCTTTTATTAGTTGAATGATTAAAAACATTGCACCTTTCATTGTCATTTTAGTTAACTTTGAATTGGGATAAATTTTGAAATTACAAACTTTTCGTGTTTTATATTAGTAAGAGTTATATTATTCAATATGACTTTATTAAACAATAAACATATTGGATCCTTAACTTGTAAGAAAATAGTCTCTAAAAGCCATAAAATTATAGGAAAATCTATCCATGTGGTGAAACAGGAAAGTGACTACTAAGGAGCTGCATACATAATTCAGGTTTATAGATTTCTGCCTGGATACTGTATACTGAAAGTTGTTATTCTCTATTGTCAATTTTAAGCTAGACATTTTAATCGATTCTATAAATCGATAAGTAAATATTAACAGAAATCATTATTTATTAATCATTTGATGGCTAGACACGAGGAGAGAAAACTCCGATTTCTTATAACTTAATAGATTTTATACACTTTCTTGTGTTTATCGTGATGATTTGTACGTTTGTGTGTGCCTACGTAATGAAATACTGTCATATATTGTCAGTAATATCGAGTGACCTGTTTGTGTTATACCTCAAAACAAACGAATAATTAGGTTTGATTGATTTAATGACAATGAACTGAAGATGGGGGATGTTGCAGGTATATAACATTCTACTTTTATTATACAGTTAATTAAAATTGCTACAATGAAGTACTCTTTGTGTAAATAATTCCATTGGAATATTTGGGAAATTTTTAATGTAACTTCATGAGAGTACTAAATAATAAAAGCTTTCTCGAGACTAATTTTTAGTACAGAGCTGTATAATTCCAGCCAACTAGTGAAATACATTGACTTTTCTTTTAGTATGCTTTATCACGGTCTCATTGAAAAGATTTTTCTAGTCCCACAAACTATATGCAACCTCACATTATAGACAACAAATAAATATTAACCATGAATTAGAATCCCATATGCTTTAAAATTTCAGAGAAACAACTAAACTGAATAGTAAACGCAATCACATTATTGTCAATGAGTATATCTAAAATTTATGTTATGGTAATTAATAAAAGTTAGTAGGAAACCCTGAACTTAGTGTTGGCGTTAGTTAGCATTCGTCAGCAAGAAGTACATTCTGTTTCAAAATAGACAAATTACTTTTTTCGATACAACAGAATATAAAATGAAAACTACTGTCATGTAAAAACCGATAAATAAGGTATAGAATGATGACGAGTGATTTTTTCTGTTCAAATATGTCATCTTGAAAAGTGAAAAATTTCTTGTTCACTTCATTCAACCAATCACCAATGTATCTTATTCTATAAGTTTCATTTCTTTGTGTTGTACATTTTTTTGAATACTTACTTACGCCTGTTACCTCTCGTCAAGGAGCATAGGCCGCCCACCAGCATTCTCCATCCAACTCTGTCCTCACCAATCCTTTCCAGTTGTTATTCATTCTTTTCATATCTGCTTCTATTTCCCGACGTAATGTGTTCTTTGGCCTTCCTCTTTTCCGCTTCCCTTCCGGATTCCAAGTTAGGGTTTGCCTCGTGATGCAGCTTGGTGATTTTTTCGTTGTGTGTCCTATTCATTTCCAACGTCTTTTCCTGAATTCCTCTTCATCTGGAAGCTGGTTTGTCCTCTCCCATAAAACGCTGTTTCTGATGGTATCCAGCCAGTGAATGTTGAGTATTTTGCGTAAACAACTGTTTTTTTTTTGAATACTGAACAAATAAAATTAACTTGTAATGGAGTTCATTTTCTCTTGAATTTCCTCTCTTTTCAGAGTTTGTCTACTGGTTAAAAAATCAAATTGAAAAATCATTTAAAAGAAGGTAAAGTTACACTTTGGATTTTCAATCTTAAATCATTCTCTTAATTCAATATTTAGTCTTTTATTAGTGTACAAAAATAAATTGAGATTTTGTTCAGTCAATCAATCTTCCGGAGCACTGACCTTCTTGGCAATAGAATAATATTCAGTTACTTGCTTTAACACCGATTTTCGTGTTCTGTTGTTGTTTTGTTTTAATTTCTGTTCAAAATTCATTTTCGTATTCTTTAAAATAAAATGTCAGATGAGGTCATTGTAAATGCGAATGAACAATTCAATTGTTCCAATTGTAATCTATCATTAATTGGACAAAAGTATATACTGAATGATGAGAAACCATACTGTGTTGCCTGTTATGAAAGTAAATTCAGTCATACATGTGAACTATGCAAAGAGAAAATTACCTGTGACTCTAAAGTGAGTATTATCTCTTTTTATTAAACTATATATTTCGCAAAGATTTGAATAATTAAAAATGTTTCGCATTATCGAACAATGTACAAAGGAAAAACCTTTGAGTTGTATTGAGTATTTGATTGACGTATCATTTTACTTTGAAACTAATTTACAATATTCATCTTCCAGTTTATACAAAATTAATTAGTAAGACTTTTGAATCTTGCTGGAGGTATGTTAATATTCATGTAGTGATTTCCGGTTCATTCGTCTACATTTCTCAAGGCCAGGTAGTTCTAAACGCATCATAGTAGTCAAGACTTAATACTCTCAGATGATTAAATCCACATTGAGTACACACCACATGGATCATACTATACTCTTGATCGATTGATTCAGTTCAGTATTTGATGACTATGGAGAACAGACAGTTATTAATTATTTACGTAGTGCTGATAACATTTTGATATAATCTTATTGGGAGTAAAATGACTTCACAAAATCAGTTCATCAGTTATACTGATCATTTAAACCAGTTAAGAACGAAATTATTTGTAAAGTAAGATGAATTCATTGGGTATTTCCCTATTATACACAACCTAATAAGTTTATTAAATTCAAACTATTCGCACCACTAAATATCACCTATTTTGTCATTTATCAAACTCTCTGACTCAGCAACTTGAAATTCCATATTTAGACTATGTGTTTCAGACCAATTTCCGATAATCCATCAAGAAAATTAGTCCTCACGACCTAAACGTGGTAGGTTGTCTAATATGTTAATCTATATATAATCAGAAAGATATATTTATCTATCGTCATCGGAATCATGCATTGCTAATGTGTGAAGCATATGTATATATATGTTTAAGAATTTCAGTCTTGTCCAATCTTGTTAGTCATAGAACAGATTACGAATGTCTAGTAATATTTTGTCACTTCAAAAGCCCTTCATATTTTTAAACATCTGTTCTGAAAGTTTGGCTTACAAATCCCTAGAGGATAACACAAAGCCTTTTCATAATAGTAATGGTGATAATTTGTATTATTATTATTCTTTGGACAATAATTTCACACCTGGACTTATTGAAGTGGTGACTTTTTCAAAAACTGACTACTTCTCTTAAAAATATCAGTGTGATCTTATGTTCTTTATTTTATCGCTACTATCTTATCTCATAGAATTGGGTTTTTTCAAATACATTCCTGTTGCTTAAAATCTCAAAAACTTTTAAATAAATCATAAAATAAACAAAGATGAATAGTGGTTAGCAGTGGAATCCAGGATTCGCGTTTCGTTCTATTTGGGACTCGTCAGCTGGATGTACCTGCATCCCAGAGTTGATGTTCACTCTGGAACTTGAACCCAGCAACTTTCATTTCAAAGGCCAGCTACTGATTCCTGATAGCCACTGCTTGTGCAATTGGGTGAAGTTTAAACTAACTGATGAGTCCCAAATAGGACGAAACGCGCGTCCTGGATTCCACTGCTAGCCACTATCCATCTCTGCTTACCATGCTTGTGAATTAAGGCTATATTGAGGCAATACGCACAGTATGCACATATGCCAATTAAAGACTGACCAGTTGCAGTCCTAACAAATCTATGGGAAGATTCAAACAAATAATACTGAATGAATTACTATTGATTAATTGTCCTTGTGGTTGGCCAAGGGAGATGAAGGGGTTTTGAGATATTTCTTCTGTATGCATAGCTCAGGTTTCTTGATCCTGATGGCTACTGCCTCAGCCTTTTGAAGAACTTTAAGCCTGATAAGCTTAGGCGAAAAATTCCTGACCCTATAAATAATTGAAAAGGACTGGTTTATACTGGCGCTATGACCAGTTTGTACTAAATGGGCCAATATCGAGCTGTTTACTTTCTTCACCAAACCTGTGTTTAGCCACGCTGGGAGGTGTTCGCGAGCACGAAAACTGCGGTTTACACCGGATACACAAATTATTATATTGATTACAGGAATCTTTTAAAGATAGTCTTTCTGCACTGATATCAATCACAAAGCAGTTGAAAGTTACGGAAAATTTAAATAATTACCTAACCTTAATTATTTGAGAATATTTTGGAATTTGTCTTGAAATAATTTCATCTCACTGTATTAATGGGGTATTGCAAATTAAACTGATGCACATATGTGTTAGGTTCAACGTTGCTTATAATGTTGATGATGTTGACGATCTGTTTTAACCAGCAAGCAAGTATTTCATCTGTCTTATCTAAGGATGATAAATTCTGTCAAGTTACTAAAAAACTGACATAGTTCGAAAGATCATGAATAGTATACACAAGCTTTTGGTAAAATGAAAACTATTCACCGCTAACAATACTTAATTTGATGACAGTTCTTATCCTAGGCTAATGTCATCTAGTGAAGTATTGAAAATCAAATGAACACTGACTGGACTGTATCACTAATCGATTGATGTTGGAATTGTAGACTTTTGAGTATCAACTTAATAGTCTGAAGATTTTGTAGTTACTGCAAGGCTTGAATGTTCTGAGCTTTTTTCAACATAGGATACGTACAATTGTTCCCCCCCCCCCGAAAAAACACAACTAGAACAAAACAACTGACTAGTACTTTTTAAGTTTAAATGGTTCTTCAGCTGAAATTAGTTAGTAATAAAAAAGCGATTTCAAATGGTATCAGTTGTTTATTTTTAAAAATGTTTAACTTCTTCAATTTGATGTTATGTAATCAGTTACAAGGTCGAACTCATTAACTCCAAAGTATTGTAATCTGTTTACAAGAAAATGAATAACTTATCAAATATGCTCTTTTTTCACATTTGGTGCCTATTATCACCTTATATAAGTTTTATTTTTTCCCCAAACAAAACAAGGATAGAGAAGATAGTACAATCACAAATTTTCAATCATGTTCTCTTCTCCCATGTCATAGAAACTTTTATCGTTTGTGGTTTAATAATTACTTCATAATCTTAATCTTATGCTCATTTCATCTTTCCGGTTGACTGGATTCCTATCGTTATATAGGTGTCCAGTTTCATCACTTCTTTATGCAAATGTGAGTTTGTATATGTATGTATGTATGTACGTGTGTCCATGTAAGTGAAGGGTATGTTTGCAGTTACTTCCTGTTGTCAACGTGGAAAGTCCTAAGCAAATTCACATATGTTAATTCTGTTCTGTACTTTTCTTATGTAGTTTAACAATGAATACTAGATGAACACACACATACAGATAACAGTAAATTGTTAATGAGTATTATTTTTGCAGTGTTAGGTGTTAATAAAAAGGTATAAATGATTTTTTTAAAGAGGAAGTTAATCAGTTTTTTTTAAGGAAAGACCAACAAGAAAAAAAGTGTTTCAAAACAATGGATTAACCACTTATTATTTTTATAGTTACGGCTTATGCTGAACAAGGACAGCATATGAAAGAAGAGCTATTTTGACCTTTTTCAAAAAGTCCAACTAAAGTTCTTATTTCTATTCTGTTTGTTATTTAAAGATAGTAAGACGAAAATGAAACAAAAATACATCTGCTATTATTATTTAATAAAGATCACTATCCAATATGATGGTCAACAATGACGATATGCGTTGTTTAGGTTGTTTTGTTTAAATAAGCTGGAATAAAATCCTGCTTGATATAAATAAGTAAAATCCTGTTTGAATGATATATGTAGTCTATGAGAATAAATATAAATAATATGGAGACCACGGATACTAGTTAATGAGTATCGGAAGCCAGAAATAAATTTATCCGTACGAGTTGGTACTATTAGTGGAGTAGTAAGCTTCCCAAATTTCCTTTTATGTCTCCTGACTGACCGTCCGAAGGATCAATTGACCGAGACTCAACGAAACCTTGCATCATAGTTTGCCATATTAACTAATTAGTTTAGTAACGATAAAAAATTATTGACCATAATAAGAAATGGTGTCATTGGATATCAGCAATTCAAACTGTTGACCGATGCGATAGATATCTCTCCATCTTTGATTTTCATTGGTGTTAGTACACGATTTGAATATTTCTACCAAATCGTTTATTTTGTATTGAAATCAGTCAGTTCGAACCATTCATTTATTTTCCTCAATGTAATTTTAGCTCGGCTTAAAATGTAATATAAAACCTTAAAAATTTCGTTAAACAGTTGATTCTTCACTGTCACAGACCTGTGGTATGATCTTCTAACATCCCTGCAACTTGATTGGACAAAACACTAGGTGTAGAAAATTACATTCATTTTTTGATTCCATTATTAAGATGAGTATTTTCTTAAAGATTTCTGTATTGCTATACAAGTCTCACAGTATAAATATCTATATTATAGAAATAAAATAAAAATTTATTGTGAGATATCAAATATTCCCATTTGCTACAATAAACTATAATGTATTACTAAGTTAGGACTCATTGGCATAAAGTATTTTGAATTCTGGGGACCTGAAATTCTTAGATTCAGTACTATTTTTTGTTATAGATGTCATTTCATAAGGATATCATTGTTTAGTTTCGTCCCTGACATCCCCGTACTACTAATACTGATTAAGATATGGAGATTTTCATTTATGTTAGCTAGATCATTATTGGATGATACATACATAGTAGCATTTTTAAAGTGTGTCCCTACAGGTAACAAGAATCATAGAATACCTAAGAACATGATTTAGTCCCCTTTTTCAAATAAGTATAAGCTTATTATAAAGAACTAATATACCTATGCAAAGTTACTCTCATAACGGTTGATTAAG